ACGGATAGAGGATTGGCCAACTAATAGAAAACAGAGAGGTAGGATAGACAGGGGCAATCTGTAACTAGTGGAGCGCTGGTAGGGATCAGAAAGTAGTGAATCTACGTAATTCTTTGCCACAGAGAGCTGTTGAGGTTAGATCATTAAGTATATTCAAGGATAGACAGCTTTTTAATCAGGAAGGTAATCGAGGGTTCTGAGGAAAAGGCAGGAAAGTGGAGTTGAGGATTATCTGATCTCATTGAATGGCAGAACAGACTTGATGAGCTGAATAACCTACTTCTGTGCCTATATGGCTTGAGCCTTCAGGATTGGAAGTTTCCTTGGTTAACCTCTTGATCTCACTTTCCTCCTTTTAGGAACTACTTTGACTGTTTTCACCAATTTTTGGTCGCCTGCCCTAATGAGTTTTAGCGAAGATCTGTCTGGAGCTCGGGTTGCGAGTGAGGTCGTTGACTTGCTCGCCAAGCTGATTTGTTCTCGTTCAGACGTTTCATCACCATGCTGGGTGACATCATCAGTGAGGCCTCCGATGAAGCGATGTTGTTCTACTCCACTTGGAATTTATACTGTCTGGTCCGTTATGGTGAGTACTGTCATTTCTGGTTTTGATTGGAGGTTGCACTGATGATGTTACCTAGCATGAATGAGAACAAGCCAGCTCGGCAAGCAAGTCAACAACCTGCCCTAATGAGTCCCGTGGCTCATATCAAGTTTTTTTTATTCGTTTGTAGGATATGGGAGTTGCTGGCTGGGCCCAGCATTTATTGCCCGTCCCTAGTTGCCCTTGAGAAGGTGGGGGTGAGCTACCTTCTTGAACCACTGCAGTCCATGTGCTGTGGGTTGACCCACAATGCCCTTAGGGAGGGAATTCCAGGATTTTGACCCAGTGACAGTGAAGGAACGGCGATATATTTCCAAGTCAGGATGGTGAGTGGCTCGGAGGGGAACTTGCAGGGGGTGGTGTTCCGTGTTTGTTTTCTGTTGTGGTGCTTTATAAGTAGAAATTGCCTTTGTCCTGGCTTTTATTTATTCCTCAACCAACGTCACTAAAAATAGGTAGATGGTTTAATTTGTGGAACCGCTGTCTGTGGCACCTCACTTGTGCACAAGTGGGTTATCATGTTTCCAACATTGTGGCTGCAGAATCCTTTCTCAAGCCAAGCTGCTCAGCATTGAGGCACTTATCCAACATAACAAGATCCTCGGAGTGGGATACATCATTGGGGCATCTGACCCCAGACTCCTGAAGGCAATTGCTCAATCCAGAATTTGGTCATGGGAGGAGTCTCCCAGGAGGACTGTGGAAACACTTCAAGATGTCCTCAAAGCTTCACTAAAGAAGGCAAACACCTAACTGATAGGAGACGCTGGTTTGTAACAGACCAAAGTGGAGAAGGTACAATGGGAAAGGCACCAAACAGGGTCTCCGTGTGGAGGTGAGGTGGAGATGTTCAAGAGAAACACAAACCTACCAAGAACCTACCTAGCCACATCCAGAAACTCTATCTATCTGCCCCCAGGTGACAGAGTCTCCACATCATGGTATTTAAGAAACCATCGAACCAGAGTGACAGGTCATCCTCAACACTGAAAGACTGCCTCAGGACCCAAAAAAGAGTGAACAATGTGGGGGTATATCAGCGCGGTACAGTGAGGGGTGTGGGATATATCAGCGCGGTACAGTGAGGGGTGTGGGGGTATATCGGCGCGTTACAGTGAGGGGTGTGGG